TGGTGGCCTCAAGGCAGCCAGACTTCTTATAGGGTGGCCGAGATGCCCAGAGCCAGCGGCCCAGGACAGGCCCGGGGTGTGTAACTGAGCTCCCAAGTCCTGCTCTACTTGTGCAGAGGAGCAATCACGAAACCCTATGTGGGTTTAAGAGAAGGAGGTATAAACTCTATGCGTGGAGGCCGTGAAAATCTCGCGGGCTTGGGGCACCCGGGTGGCTCAGCGGTTGAGCATCTGCCTTCAGGTCAGGGCATGACCCCGGAGTCCCGGGATCGAGTCCCGCATCAAGATCCCTGCGGGGAGCCTGCTTCTCCCTCTGCCTGGGTCTCTGCCTCTCTCTCTCTCTCTGTCTTTCATGAAGAAATAAATAAAAAAGGAAAAAAAGAAAAGCAAAACCTATGGGCTTTTTTAAAAACATCATAATAAGTGACCATAAAAATGTTTTGTGCCATTTGGATGATCCAGTGTGTCTCCCATGGCCCAGTAATTAAAAGACTTCCTCAGGGAAATCCCTGGCTGAGTCCTGTCTTCAGCCCGGGGCCTGATCCTGGAGACACGGGATTGAGTGTGTCTCTCATGAATAAATAAATCTTTTTTAAAAAGCACACACACACTAGAAAAAAGATTCACAACACCTATCACCAAAGAAGGTGAACTTCTCCAATATATAAAGTATTCCTACAAATCAGTAAAAAGGACAAAGGAAACAGACAATTCAACAGAAAAGAAAATACAAATGATCATTAAAAAGATGCTTAACCCTATTCACAGTTGAGAGAAAGGCAATTTTTCACCCATTGATTTGCAGAGATCAAAAACTTCGGTGACAGCCTGCATCGGGGAGTCTAAGGAAACACTTTCCACTGCCAGGGCGACGTCTGGGGTGGGCAGCTGGAAACCCCACTCGCAAATGCAGACTTTTCATCCAGCAATGTCACTTCCAGGAATTTGCCCTACAGACGTTGATTCACACATTTACAAAATGATTTCTGTAAAAGGTTATTCATCTCAATATTGTGATAGTAGAGGACTGGAAACAACCCAAATGCCCACCAGCAGAGGGAAATCTAAGTTACGATCAACTTAAAGGAATTCCATGAGGCCTAAGAGAGAAATGATGCTTACGTGTCCTAAGATGCCCTCATCCTCAGGTATTTTGTTGCTATTCCCAGAAACCACAAATCTGTGATCATGACTCTGTGGTGGAAGAACCAGAGCTGAGCGGAGTGGGGAGGAGACTTCATCGTTACTCATCTGTACATGGCCCAAACATTGAACCATGTGAATATACTTCCTATACAAAAGTCTAATTTCTAAAAAGCCCTATTGTCATATTTTACAGATAAACAGAGCTCTCAAAGGATTGAGGAGCCAAGAGAAGAAATGAAATGAAATGCCTTTGTATACTCTGTAATTTCTAAGGAATGAAGAACAATATGAAAATCCACCTTTTGTTTTAGTACTAAAAGAACGCTCCAAGACTTCAAGAAAAATATACAAAATCTTCCGTAACTATTTAAAAGTATAAATATCTAATAGCATTAGAGCACAAAACTCAATTTTAAGTGAGAAATTTCACAGGACTCAAATGTCTGAAAAATACGGAAATGACAGATTACGGGAATCAAACTGTTGGTACATGCAAATTAAAGGAATCCAATAATCCAAAAAATAAGACTTGAAAACATTCATTTTAAAAACATCTAGTTACGTACGTGAGTGCAGTGCGCAGCCGTAGGGGAGAACCATCCTAACTGCTTCAGGAAATTAGATTTCTGAGCTTGACCTAATCAACTTGTAATTAGTCTCTGTCTCCTCGGGATTTTCACCCTGGCAGGTCTCCAATCCATGTTCTCCCGCCAGCGTCCCAGCGAAGACGTTCTCTAGGCTCGGACGCTGCCGTGTGGCCACCAGGCCTCCATTCCCCGCGCCCTTCGTAGCGCCACTGGAATTTCTAGCATAAACCCGATGGTCCCAGTCACCTCCTTGCTTCAACACTCTCATTAGTTACCCAAAGCTCAAAGGCTTTCACGTGGCTACTCTTTTCTCCCTTCTCTTCAAAATTCCTTTTCCCCCAAATGTGGAAATTGCCTATTTGATCTTTTTTATTCTTATTTTTTAAGCCATTGACTGGTCTTGGGCTGGGCATCTGACTTTAGCCAGGCCAAAAATAGGCCACCCCAGATATTTTAACTTGGGATTGACAATCAGTTCACCTCTCTGAACGTCGGCAGCATACAGAAGTTCAGACGCAGGCAGTGGCCACATTTTCTGCCATCTGAACCAGAAAAGGGGAGAGAAATCCAGTTGTAAGAGAGAAAGAATGAGGATGTGCAGAGAAGCTTAAGCCCAGAGTTAGGAAACTGGGTACCCAGGTCCAGCTGCATCCTTGTCCCGGAGTCCAATAGGATGAGTCAGACTCCTCCCGATAAATCCTCCCCAAATGGGAGCCACACCACACCCTAGGTTGACAGCCTCATTTCCTGTTGTTCTGACCAGCTCTTCATTGCCCTGCACTCGCTACCCTGCATCAAAGTCAAAACATGGCTCCATGCTGTGTGCTCGCTGTCCTAAGCATGATTACATTTACCATACTATATTGTAGAGTTCCCAGGTGTTTACACAGTATTTTGCAAGTTCTTCAAGGACATCGTCTCAATCATTTATGTCGCTCACTGCCCAACACAACTGGAAAACACATAGCAGATACTTGACAACCGTTGGACAAATCAGGTTATTCCGATCAATTAACCCTTGCCACAAAGGCTCCAGCAAATTTGCCCTCAGAAGACCTGACCAACTTATTATCTTAATAGCTGATACGAAAGCAGTCTTTCATGAATAATATGATCTTGTGTTTGAGCAGGAGAGTAACTGACATGTGAAATAAATGCACTGGGTAAAGCAGTATCGACTTCAGAGGCCCAAGCGCCAACCCACACTTTCCTAAAGGGCCTGAATCAGTAAAGCTGAATGTAGAAATTACAATCTTACACCTACAACAGAATTCCTTCTTTTTTGTCATACAATTTATAATTATTCATTTAGTTTTGCCTTTTCTACGTCTGGAGATGTCAACAACTCTTAGAGTATTCGTTGGCCCTGAAGTACTCTTCAACAAGCGGATTACTTAGCCATACAAATGAAAAAAAATCTACCCTTATCAGCTAATTTTAGTATTTAGGGCTTTTTTTCTGAAAAATTCTTTAACCCTAAATGTGTTTCCAAATAGATTTGTTTGTTTCTAATGTATTATATATACTTTACCTGGAAGCCAGAGGGGAAAAGAGATTTTTTTGTTTTGCTCTGTAATCATCCTAATAATCAAACAAAGGGAATGAAATACAATTTCTTTATGGCAAAGCTGGTTTATTGAACTTCGTAAGGGAAATGTTACAGTGACACTATTCCACAACGAAATTATTTAACTTCAGATTTCATGAAGAAATATATTAGCAATATACTGTCAATAAAGCATCATCATTAATAGCTAACTACATATAGATTCTGGATTAACTTCCTTCAGTTGTTCTCAAATTAAGACTTTTCCAAAACATATCTGATGTTTTCAATTAAATGTCACAGCTAAAATAAATTCACACAGGAGTTACAAAACGTGTGACTTGTGCTTTAAAAATTTACAATTATTTGTTTGAAAGCCACCATTCTGTTAAGTGATTTCTCAACAATGAAGTGTTTTATAAATATTTTGGAAAATATCTAAAACCTCTATCCCCATTCAACTGATAAGTATGCTCTTTTAAAAAATAAAAACATATGTAGAAAAAATTAAGAGAGTAAATCATTACAAATGAGATACAAATATTTTAAAATTAATAAATATTAAAGTGAAAAAATAAGTTCTTTTACAGAACTGTAAAGGATACCTGTATTAAGTTCTTACAAAAAGAAATAAAGTTAAATTATTTTTTTAGTCATTATTAACAGCACTTAAAAACATAAATGCACTGGGAAAGTTTGTAAACTTTCTTCCCACACTTTAGAAAATGTTTTAAAAGCAATAAACAGATTCCTTTCTTTAAAAAACTGTTACACTCACCACAGTTAGCACAGTTGTCATTGTTTTTTACTATAAAAATAGTTACAAATCAAAAATTTAAATTAAAACCATTTTAGCATAAGAAAAATGGATTTATCTTCCTAAACACAGATAAAGCCAACTTGTTTTTCCTTAAGCTCTAATATTTAAAACTGAATAATTATTTCTCTGTTAGTTCATTTAATAGCATTATCTTGTTTTTATAATTATTCAGTTAGAATCACCATAATGATTAAATAAAAATCTTAAACTAGATTACATATTTGATTTCCCACATTCTGAAAATATTGTAAGTATAATCATCTTTTGGCTTAATTACCTCTAAAATTATCAAGGACAGCAATCTATCAGAATTAGTCAATGTGTGCACTTCAGTTAAGGTTCATGGCTTACATTCCATTCGTGTAATAGCTTTGTATGCAAGCTTACTATTTTCTATGTGCAAAGTCTTAAAATCAAAATAAACGTTTTTTGGGGTAGGAAACTTCTTGTACTATTCTTTACATCACTAAGAGAGACAACGTATTTCTCAATATCTTATTTATTTTTCATACCAAGGAGGAATAGCTTGTTGGGACCACAAAATTTAAAGATCTTAAAAACTGGTATGCTGCAACACGATACTATTACAGAAATATATGTAGACTCCTAGCAATCAGAGGTGTGCCTTCAGAGCTACAATCCAAATGGAAGTTGATTTGTTAACTCAACCTTCAGTCATTGAGTTGACTGACCGTGGCGGGGAGAGCAAGAGATACTACGCCAGACACACAGCTTGAGATTACAGAAGCTATTGAAAAGGTCTCCTTTTGTAGCCAGGAATCACATTTATCTATTTTCCCCCCAAATTACAACTCCTCCAATGCTTTCAATTTGTTTTTTACTAAAGATACCAAAATAAAATATAAAGCACCTTATTATGTCACTTCATTTAAAGTCAGACTTATTTTGGCATATTTTAATAGAATTTAGTAAGAAAACAATTTTTTTCTAAAAATAACAATGACTTCTGTAGATATGATTGATAAATCAATTAGAAATATCAAGCATGTGGAATCACTGGAAGTCATTCTTTATACACTGAGAACCAGAAAACATTCTATGCCTTCTCCTCCCACTGGACTAAAATCGTCTTGGCTCTAACATGTACCCATAATAATGCAATTAAATACATCAATAATACAAAGAACTTTAGGGAGAGGCAAATACCAGTTTTGTCCTATTGAGAATGCTTCCCATTCAAAGGACATACCTAGTAGGTATGTCCTATACCCTTTTATTTTTTTCTATCCCTGGAACACAGGAATGAACAGTGATTTACTCCTAAAATACCATCATGCTCTGATTTGAAGCCTCCTTCACTGGGCTCTCAACGGGAAGATGTTCTGATTCATCCTACCTTTGCTTCATTTTCAACCTCACGTGAAAACCAACTTTTGCCCTGTGTTGTCATGATGACAAACTTAATTAAGTAGATACAAAATACAAAAATTAGCATGACAATGATAAACAGTATAATGTCAGGATGATCCATTATATTTGAGATTAAATCTTATGACTTATCACTGTCATACTTCAAAAGTATTTCTCTAGTCAAAATTAGATAGTATAATAAAGACTGTTACTTAGCACCAGCATGTCATTGCAGGCTTTGGTTCAGGCTTCAGAATAATTCCATTATCAGGGGGTTGACTAAGCATTAATGGTTTGTGGCTCTTAAGTTTATGAGCCAAGGTCATAAATATAGCTTCCACATGGTCATTATCATTGGGGTTTTTCGCAGAGGTTTCAAACAAAGGCATACTGTGTGTGTCAGCAAATTTTTGTGCCAAGTCTGTAGGTACTTGAATGGCACTTCTCAAGTCACATTTATTTCCAACGAGAATCCGTGGTATGTCACTGGCTAGCAAATGCTGTTTGCATTCTTCTATCCAAGATGGCAGGCTATGAAAACTAGCCATGTTGGTCATATCGTACACGAAGACAACAGCATGTACATTTCTGTAATAGTGCTGTACCATGCTCTTTCTAAATCGTTCTTGTCCTGCTGTGTCCCACAACTGGATCTGAAAATGGAAAAAAAAAAAAAGAGAAAACTGAAAATTTCATTCCAATTATACTTATGAAATTTTTTATCAACTCTGCATGGTATTTAGTAATTCTTAAATTACACTTTGATCCTTCTATAGTGCCTTTTCCATGTAATTTGTGGGACCCAAACTTCATGATACTAGTTACTTCATAATTAATGCAAGTGTCAGAACAAATATTTCAATTCAGCACTTAAATTTTAGTAAGTCAAATTTGTTTGGGTGAAATTATACCTCAAAAACAGATTTTAGGGCAGCCCAGGTGGCTCAGCAGTTTAGCACCTCCAGGGATGGAGTCCCATGTCATCAGGCTCCCTGCACGGAGCCTGCTTCTCCCTCTGCCTATGTCTCTGCCTCTCTCTCTGTCTCTCATGAATAAATAAATAAAATCTTTAAAATCTAAACAAAACAAAAGAAAAAAACACCTGACCTTTTTTTTAATATTTTAAAATCAGTGTTTTTTTTTTAAGATTTTACTTATTTATTTATTAATGAGAGACAGGGAGAGGCAAAGACACAGGCAGAGTGAGAGCCCAATGTGGGACCCGATCCCGGGACTCTGGGATCACCCCTGAGCAGAAGGCAGACAGACACTCAACTGCTGAGCCACCCAGGCGTTCCTGAATGTCAGGTTTTAACAAACATATTAAGCATATAATTCCTGTAAATCTGGTTACTATATGCCCTTCTCCACCTTCCAATAGACTAACTTAAAATAGTAGACTTAGGACAGATGCTATGAGTCATTAGGTTTATTAGTCCTCAAACCAATATATATAGACCTTCTATGAAATCCCCCTTGAAAATCTTAAAAGGCTAGAGAATCATTTATTTAACCTAAACATGTCTACCAACAAGACTAGTTCAGTATCTCCTAGTTGAAATACAGGGGGCGGGGTGGGGAGGATTGAGGAAAATAATATCTAAAGCTAAATGTAAGTTATGTGTCATGATTCTCTGAATTACCCTTTTGTTTACTTCCTAAAAAAGTTAACTGATGGGGGTGGAAAAGACTAGAGGTAGATCTGATTAGATACCTTTTGATAAAAGACTTGTACTATTTACAAGGAAGCCTCAACTGGTAATTTTTCAGAGTGACACAGAGTAGAAAGAAATGTAGCTGGCCCACAAAGTAGGATATAAGATACAGAGTGCTCAGAATATGGCAGCACATGGTTAAGTCCTCAATGAAGATGTAATAAATGAATAAATACATTTTTAAAAATGTGATTAGAGATGAAAATATTGATCACAAATCTCTTCCATGGTACCTTAATTAAAAAAAAAAATGTTTTAAAGTAATCTCTACACCCAGTGTGGGGATTGCACTCACAACCCCAAGATCAAGAGTTGCGTGCTCTTCTACCTTGGATTTTATCAGCTCTGAGCGGTTTTTTTGGTAGTTCCTTTTAAGACCAAGTTTCTCCATTTTCTTAACATTCTCCCTTTCTTTCTAATTAACATAAACCAAATTTTGCTCCAGGTGGAAATATAAAATACTATACAAACCTGATCTTTCAGGCTCCCCTGGAACTAAGGGAGGCCAAATGACATGGTTCTAGCCAATAATTTGCAGACAGTCTTCAGGGGGTTTTCCAGGAAAACTATGGATATGTGATTTTTAAAAGAGAGAATATTTGGCACGCGCCTTTTGCACCTCTCTCACTGCACCCTTTCTGCCTGGAATGGGATATAATGACTGGGAGTTCAGCAACTATCTGCAGAGCATGAAGAAGAAAGCGACACAGAATAGCAGAAGTCTACATAAACCTTGAATCTTGCTGCCTCGGGTCTCCTTAGAACATGAGAAAAATAACAGCTTACCCTGGTTAAAATCATTATAGTTGAATTTTTCTTAGATGCGCTGAATGGCATCCTAAAATTACTTACCGTGCATACTGTTTAAACCTTTACCCCTTACACTCATATGTACTCACTAAATCACAAGGTTTTGCCTCAATGCCTTCCTAGAAACCATGTCACAAAATAAATTATCATAAAATGCCCACCATGTGATGTAGGCAACATAAATGGCAGACAGGCTGTAAAGACTCCGTATCAAATAAATCAGAGGTAGAAGCAAACAGTTGTCAGCAAAGCAAACTAAGTACTAACATCTAAGACTATCTAAATCAACAAGTATTTACTCAATGCCTACTACGTGCCAGAGATGACCGTTACACCTCTAGGCCTTAGCTTCTTCCACAGTGAAAGTAAAATTTAGTTTCAGACCCTCTAAAATAAGCACTCATAGACTAGCTGCAATGAGTGTGCAAAGAGCTACTGAAGTGCTTAAAATACTTAAAAAATACAACTTTCCTTTAAAAACATAAAACTTTCCTACCCCAACTAACAGATTAAGAATACTCAACATACAATTAAAAATGCTTCTGTAGATATCAAAGCATACTACATAAAGCTACAATAATCACACCGTGTGCTACTGGAATAAGATCAGATGTATAGATCAACAGAACAAAACTCACAGTCCAGAAATAACCCCATATATCTATGGCAAATTGATTTTCAACAAGAGTACTAACACAATTCAGTAAGGGAAAGAATAGTTCTTTTAACAAATGGTTCTGGGACAACATACAAAAAATAAGGTTGGACCTCCTACCTCACACCATATATAGAAACTTATTCAAAATGGACAACAAATCTAAACTTAAGAGCTAAAACTATAAAATTCTTAGAAGAAAACATAGGGATAAGTATTTGTGACCACACTGGGTTAGACAATGGTTTCTAAGATATGATATTTAAAACACAAGTAATCGGGGGATCCCTGGGTGGCTGAGCAGTTTAGTGCCTGCCTTTGGCTCAGGGCGTGATCCTGGAGTCCCGGGATCGAGTCCCGTGTCGGGCTCCCTGCATGGAGCCTGCTTCTCCTCTGTCTGTGTCTCTGCTTCTCTCTGTGTCTCTCATGAATAAATAAATCTTAAAAAAAAAAAATACACGGGGATCCCTGGGTGGCTCAGTGGTTTGGTGCCTGCCTTTGGTCCAGGGTGTGATCCTAGAGTCCCAGGATCGAGTCCCACATCGGGCTCCTTGCATGGAGCCTGCTTCTCCCTCTGCCTGTGTCTCTGCCTCTCTCTCTGTGTCTCTCTCATGAATAAATAAATAAAATCTTAAAAAAATAAAACACAAGCAATCAAAGAAAAAATAGACAAATTGGACTTCATCAAAATTAAAAATGTGTGTTTCAAAGAATATTATCAAGAAAGTGAAAAGACGACTCACAGAATAGGAGAAAATACCTGCAAATAATATCTGGTAGGGGTATACCATCCAGAATATTTAAGACCTCTTACAACTCAATAATAAAAGGACATATGAACCAATTAAAAAATTGGCAAAGAATCTGAATAGACATTTCTCCACAGAAAATATACAAATAGTCAATAAGCACGTGGAAAGAGGCTCAACATCATTAGCCATCAAGGAAATGCAAATCAAAAACAAACCAAATACCACTTTATACTCACACTAGCAAGGCCTAAATTTAAAAAAAAAATGGATGGACGATAAGAAGGGTTGGTGGAGAAAATCTGGAACCCTCATACATTGCTGGTGGGGATGCAAGATAGTACAGCCACTTCAGAAAACAAGTTTGGCAGTTCCTCAAAAAGTTAATCAGACTATGACTTCCCACAAAAAGGAATAAAGTACAGATACGTGCTACCACAAAGATGAACCTCCAAAATGCACGGCATGAAAGAGGCCAGACACACATTCTATGGTTCCATTTACATAAAGTATCCAAAACAGAGAAATCTATAGAGATGGAACACGGATCTGCTGGTTGCCAGGGCTGGGGAATGGGGAGAAACTGTTTCACGGGTGAGAGGTTTCACTTTGGAGTGATGGAAGTATTTTGAAACTAGATAAAGGCGCGGTTATACAACATTATGAATACTAAATGGAATTGTTTACTTCAAAATAATTTTATGGGATCCCTGGGTGGCTCAGTGGTTAAGCGTTTCCTTTCGGCCCAGGTCATGATCCTGCAGTCCTGGGATCGAGTCCCCCATTGGGCTCCGTGCATGGAGCCTGCTTCTCCCTCTGCCTGTGTCTCTGCCTCTCTCCGTCTCTCATGAATAAATAAATCTTTAAAAAAAAAATAAAACAAAATAATTTTGTGTTAATTGAATTTCACTTCATAAATTATTTTTAAAAACATAAAATGGATTTGCTGTATGACCCAGTAATTCCACTCCCAGGTATGTACCTGAGAGAACTGAAAAGACATATTCACACAAAAACTGGTACACAAATGTTCCTAGCAGGAGTATTCGTAATAGCTAAAAGGTAGAAACGACCCAACTATCCATCAACTGATGAAGGAATAAGCAAAATGTATGTCCATATAATGGAGTAAGATTCAGCCATAAAAAGGAATGAAGTACTGATACATGCTACAACATGGATGAATCTAGAAAATATTATCTTTTTTTTTTAATTTTTTTTATTTATTTTATGATAGTCACACACACACACAGAGAGAGAGAGAGAGGCAGAGACATAGGCAAAGGGAGAAGCAGGGTTCCTTGGAAAATATTATCTTAAGTGACAGAAGCCAGACACCATAGGCCACATATTGTTAAGATTCCATGTGTTAAAAAAAAAAAAAAGAAAGATTCCATGTGTGTATGAAATACCCAGTATAGGCAAATCCAAAGACTGAAAGTAGACTGGTGAGTGCCAGGGTTGAGGGAAGGGGAGTAATGGGGAGTGACTGTTAAAGTGGGTATGGGGTTTCTTACTGGAGTTCTGGAATCAGATAATGATGACAGTGAATATACTAAACCTTGCAAATATACTAAAAACCAATAAATTGTATATTTTAAAAGAGTATATCTGATGGCCTGTGAATTATATCTCAGTTGTTTAGAGTGACAAAACAAAACAAAACAAAATAAAAAAAAAACCACTCCAAACTGTATCTTTAACATTTAGAAAGATATTTGGGA